AGTACAAAGTTTATGTAACATATTTTTTTAAAACCGGACTTTCGACGCCATTCTTTTAAAAATATTTTACCGAGCCCATATGTCAAAATGACGGAATTAATGGATACTAATTATAATAATGCGTGAATAAATGAATGAATTAATAAACAAACAAGAATCGAATTGAATGTTAAAATGTTCCTATAAAAAAAACAAGTCAAAATAAAATCATGGATACTGTCCCTTGGAAGTTTCGGAATTAGGATAAACTCTGTCTACTCTATCAAATCAGTGGTAGAGCCCGCTTTAACATCTTCGCATGAATGGTCCCGGCTCACCCGGTGAAATACCACGACCACACAGAAGACAGACGCGTCAAGTGGAAGCAATTCCAAGTACAGTCTGATGAGAGTGCGTCAAGGAGGCCTAATTTAATCCTCTTTCCCTTCCCATCCTTTTTCTTAAAAGGAAAGGATGGGAAGTGAAAGAGGATATTGGACTTTCCGGATGAGAGGATGCATGGAAAGGGAAAATATTTTCTATCTGTGCATCCTCTCCTCCGCTGATTAAAGGTAGGCAACGCATATGCAATTGCGTATGTCTATGGGCAACGGTCACTTCGCTATTTCAGCGTTTTCGGGTGGCCTACTTACTACCATTATAAATAAAAGGTTTGCATAGATGTCTGTTAACAATAAGGCGCATAGACTTAAAAGGTATATGTCAATGAAATAGTATAGTAACTCAGGAACGTGCCTTTTTAAATTCGGAGACGAAGTTGCGGGCATTAGCTACTATAATACAAAACGTAAGGACCACATACATCTTTAATGTATGGACGTTACATATTTATTCAATTGATTAATGGACCTTGTTAATTTATGTAGAAAACCAGTTTAACTGGTTAGATCTTTGTCCTTACAACATAGGACGATAAGGGTTAAAAATTAAACCAAAAAAATGGATCCATGTATTTTATTTTGAAGTAACTATAGGTTATTTATTACGTAGTTTAATCTGTGTTTTCAGAATGAAAGCCTTTTCTAATATCTTGGCGGCTCAGTCATCTGCGCGCTGCTCAGTCCTCCCCACCCGTATCCCACTACGCCACAACACACCTAATGTGTTCTGCGCTGCGATACGCGCTAAGTTAAACGTTAAGTTATTCGAAAACTACTATTCAAGTTACTAAAGTGTAGTTCTAATGTAGCACTTATTGAGGTTAAATGAATATTTCTCATATAATAAGCGCTTTAGTGACAGTTAACGTTTATGAGTGCAGTTACAGGATGTTATTTTATGGATTGAGTGAGTCAAGCACCTTTCTTTAGATCAAGCATAATTTATTATCAGAGATTTTGAATATTAAGTTAATACTAAATTACTTGTTTCTTGCCAAAAATGTACTAAAAATAGACTCTAGCGTTTTATTTTTTATTTTATTTCTACCTAACAAGGTTAATGATTTTTTTTGTAGGCTTTAATGGCCAACCAAAAAAAAGCAAGTCAATATCAAGTTTAGTATTTAGACTGTGGAAACTTATATTTATATTTAATCTTGACTAGAAAATACATTATAATTGAAGGGAAATTATTCGCAATATTTTATAGCACGCTTAGTACATATGATTCAACATAGAATCGTAACAGTAGAGTTCCACTGCTGGAACTACTATAAATTCAAATTCTTGTCTCAATTGTTTCACTACTATTATTTTGCTTATCGACTATATTTATTTATATATATATTTTGTATGTTATAAATAGTACAAATGTAGTAACCGAAATAAGACCAACTTCCCAATGTCAGATTCTTTTGAAATTTAGTACACCCCTTAAGTCTTGATGACAATGCAACTTTGAATTCAGTGTCGTTTTAAATTTAGTATGTCCGCTGCCACAAAATTGGGGATGAAATATTTTTTGTACAACCACCCCAATATGGGTATTAAATAAAATAATTGACAAAACGTAAAATAGTAGCAAAACGTGGTAAGATCCAATTCAAAATTTCTTTAAAGTGGAAATTGGATAAAAATATATATTAATTAATTTGTTTCAAAGATGATGTTTATAAACATATATTACAACAGTGGAAACCGACAGTAAAATCGTTATTTAAACCTGTTTGAAACCTGTAAATAAATTGTATACAAATACCGAGATTTTATCTCGTGATTTTCCAGTTTATTACGAACCTTAATATGAGTCGGGTCGTTGATAAATTTTGGTTTAGGCAGGTACTAAAGTGTTTTATAAAAATTACTTAAAATTTATCTGATTTAACCCTAACATATAAGCAGTAGTCATCCATTGTATGAAAAGCAAAATTAATAATAAAAATAATTATTTAAAAAAAAAAGCTTTTACTGTATCTTCACGTTCATCAGGTCTCGCAAATGTTCTTAAAAAGGAGGTAAAAAAGTTCTCGCTTAAAGTATGAAAGAGAAAATAATATTGTGCTTATACTAGTGTTACAACAGTCAAAACGCACTGCCATGTTACGTATAATTTGAGGTGTTTTTGTGATATTGATTTGTTCAGGTAAGGTAAAATATTTCCTATTCTAACGTCCAATTACAAACATTTCAAGATTATCTTCCGATGAACAAAATCTTACAAAATATAGATGTGTTTAGATCTTTGTTGGAAGGTATCTATAAAACGGTTGTATGGATTTCAATGAAATTTCTCATAAATATAGAACATAGTCTAGCAGAACACATAGGGTATTAAATAATTTATTTCTTTATTTCGTCCGGACGGAGTCGCAGGCTTCAGCTAGTGTGTCATAAAAGAGAATTTCGTTTAGAATTATTGACTAAAAAGATAAATAAATGAACAAATAAATT